AAAGGGGAAGAACTCCTTTGAATCCTGTGTCACAGGCTCAGAGACAGTAGCTATCTCAAGAAATACTTGGATACTGGAAAGACTAAACTGATATGGAAAACACTGCAATGTGAACAAGGAACCCCACAATCACTTCTTAATCACTTGGCAGAGTAAAGATGTAATGCAAAACTGGCATCTCTTTTTTTCCTTTCAGCTCTTTTCCTTTCTCTCAGCCACCATATTGCACTTAGACCCAAGGTTCCTGTATTATGTGTATAAGATCATTAACTTGCCTTTCCACCCTTCTAAAATGCACATAGACATTTCTACCATGTTTTTCAATAATGAGTTCCTCTCAGTGCATATTGAGGGCTGACGCAAAAGGTAAAGACACTTTCCAAAAGGGTACCAACAGCCTATTTGAATGCAGCTTTGGAGAGCATTCCCAGCTCTTCTCTGATGTGCTCATGGCTCCTTTACCATCCCTGTCATTGTACATCATTTATTTTTCCACTTATATAAACAAAACATGTTCAGCAGTTTATCCTCTCAGACAGTTATTGAATTTCAGATTTGGAAGATCAAAACTGAATAGTTTTAAGTTGTTCATTTTTCAGACTTGAACAACATGGTCACTCATGGTACATACTGCGATAGCCTTATGGTGTACCAAACTCAGACACTCTTTAACTTTTATCTTCAGTCATGTATTTCTCTCCCTGTTTTCCCCTATGCACACACCAAACAAAATGGGAATAATTTTTATGTAAAAAAAATTTCCCACAGTATTATTTCAATGTATATAGCCACACTGCCATTGCTCCCCTCATGCATTGTACATAACCAAGCTACTTCTCTTTCATCAACTACTCATGTTGATTAGGACGCACGTAAATAGCTTTCCTGAACAATTCTATTAATTGTATGTAACAGTTGTAGTTTATGGCATTTTTGTAATTTATATGGCTTCTGAGAATTACTTGTGAGTTATTTAATGATGTAAAGTCTGTCAACTTGTTGTTTGTAATGTATTTCAATACCAATGTTAATTACATGTGAATCTTTTTCAATCTAGGCTAAAATTCATGTTTCCAAAGATATAGATAGGAGTCTGCTAAAGAGGTAACTCAGGCCATAGTGTCCTTTGTATCTTTGGAAAACATTCTGCTATTTGGGAAGCTTGATACAATTACCTTTTATCTCTTTAGTGAAATCCTTTTCTACCTCACTGGAGGATGTGCTGTACTGAAAAGAGCAACAATGTACTTTTTCATGCTTGCCTCTATCTTATTCTCTGCCAGTTTATCAGATATTTAGAATCTGTTAGGATACATAGAGCATTGAAATGACCTAGCTGCACAAACAGGGTGATATTATAGATCTATCATCTAATCTCAACTCTTTTAGCATGACTATGTGTAGTATTTAGTATAAGGAAACAGGAAATAAGGCAAGATTACCATCAGAGAAAGAGTAGGATCAGAACAGGATTAGTAATTTAAAACATATAAATTACTGTTATAAATATTTTACAAACATTTTGTTTTCGGTACGCTCAAAGTTACAGGATCAGAAAATAGTGAAGAGGTATGGCAGAGGAGTCAGGATTTTCCATGGGTAAATTTAGAAAAAAAACAGCAATAATGAATCTTCTTAGGCTGAAATAAGGTTCTATGATTATGTTGGGTTATTTCACATTTTAGTTTTATTAAGATAATAATGGCAGTTACAATCTTAAGTCCTTGAACTATTCATGTAGCTCCCAAACTGTCTTGAATCTTTGTTGATCAATTAGGTAAGACTTCTGCATAAATATTTAAACTTCCTACCTTTACGTACTTTTCATGCACCTATTGTTTTTCCTTTATGTGAATTTATAACTTCCTATCTGTATGGCATTGATTTTTACCTACCCACTTTAATGCGTGAATAAGTGAAATCCCTGTTACCTTTTACTGTGAAATTCTCCTGTCTGAGGTACGTTCCTTGAAAATTTGTGACTTTCCAGCTAGTGTCCAGAGATCAACAGTATCCTGTCACAAGGATTGAATAGTCTAATAGTGGAGCATCTAATGAGAGGGCTGCACAAAACACTCAACTCTTTTAAAATTTGCTGTACAGCCCTTCGAACGGGAGACACACTGACGTAGGTTTCTCTCTGTGTTGTTTCTTCCCCCCACCCTCCTCTTTTCTTCTTACTCAGTGCCTCTGGACATCCTAAATGTGTAATTTTAACCAACTTAGTGTTTTCACCTACACAGGAAATTGTTAAGAAACTTTTTTGAGATACTAAGGATTAAGAGAAATAGCTTTTGGGCAATAACTCATTAAAAAGCCAAAGAGAAGTAACCTTTGCTAGCATTCCTTCTCCAATCTTACATCTGCTATTAAACACTCTTTGTAGAAGTGATCACACGGGGTCTTGCACTCCTGGGCTCCTCACAGACCCACCTTTCAACTGATTATTTTACTTGAAACACTCCAGTGTTTGAATTAAAGGAGTCCACTTGACATATAGCTTATACTATTGATCGTCATTTTCATAGGAAAAAAAAATAAATTATCTTAAAACACCATTTTTTTCAGTGGTTTATATGACTCTATGTAGGGGAATATAATGCTGAATAAGCCTCACACAGCCTTTACTAAAAAGTAAAAGATTATTTTAAAAACTATTTTTAAAGTTTTCAAAAAGTAATTGCAAAACTCTGAATCCACACGTGTAGCATAACCATACAGGACAAACACAAAATAAATTAACAATCTGGATTTTAACTAATATAGGAATAATAGTAAGTCCTTTACTTAACCAATGTTGTCCACTAGATACTCCCTCTGGATTGCAAATTAAAAATGTAATATTCTGCCTGCATAAACGCTGTGATGACCACATATTATCAAGCTCTCTATTTGCTTATGCTTTACTTTGTTTACCAAACTGAGATTTTGTTGAAGTATTTGAAGAATTTAGTTAAGTATACATGTATTTTTTAAAGCCCTGTTAATATTTAGTTGTAAATTACAGTTGAAATTACCACAATATGCTTTTATCTCAGGTTCATTCATGATCGGCATTCTCCCAGTTACACACAATGCAATTTCCTGCCAACCCAGCACATGATAAATCCAAACGTTTCCTGCAGTAAACCCATGTCAAGGACATTTTAGGGTAGCATGATCTATGCCTGTAGGATAAATTCAGACCCTTCAAGCATGCATAAAAATGGTAGGGAAA